TTCCGAATTTCAAAACTTTCTTTCTCTCTCGTTGTTTAAAAAAAAAAAGGGTATACTTATTCAAAGGGTTGAACGAAGTTCAGGGCGAATTGTTCGAATGTACGTATAACGAGCGTATTTTTAAAGCGCGAAATTTTTCGTTGTTCGAAGCGAGAGTTGGAAGCTAGAGATATCGTATCGAGAGTGTTGCACGAGAGATTTCAAAGGAGCGCGATACAATAATAAAAGGAATATCTTCTTTTTCGACTCTTTACTTGCCTGACTATGGCTGTCCTGCCGATGTTGCTTTAGGCTGGAAGTCGATGCCGCTGCCGATGCCGTTGTATCGTGCCGTTTCAAGGATGGTATTGAAGTACCGCGTGTATACGAGCCTCGGGCGTTTCCACTTGATTTTCCTTTGCCTCCGCTTTGACTTTTATTGCTACCGACGCTGTACGAAGAACCCTGAGAACCGACTTCCCAAGGATCCGAGGTGCTGCGCAGATGCAGGATCGACACGTTTTGACCTCTGTAAACGAGTTGACGGACAAATATAAATATCACTAGATGAAACTTTCCGCTATTATCGAAATTATTATTCACGTTCGTCCAGATAACGGGTAAAAAGTATTCTGCAAACTTAATTAAGAAGAAGAAGAAAAAAAAACATTTATATTTCGAGTTGAAAGGAAAACTATTCTAGATATATGCGGATATAATATACGCGTTATGTATATTTAAAAAACGGTGAAACTCGATTTAAGAAGATTGTTGCTTTTCCTCAAGTGCAATCTTCTCGTATAAATATTCATCGGTTTCGCGATATGCGGATACGGAGGAGGAAATAGAGAAGGAAACGAGGGTGTTGCATCCGTCTTTCTTCGAAATACTCTACAGAGATTCTTTTCGTGGCTCCTCTCGATACGAGAGCATACCACGGAATGTGCTATGTGGCGAAAGCTAGCAACGTACGAGCCGTAAAACGGATTCGTTTCCGACGAAAATAAACATTCGCGAGACATCGAAACGTCTTTGACCGTGATTGAACGCGTGTTCCGTGAGAGCTCCTCTCTCTGTTTTCTTCGCACGCGTTCCAATGTGTACAATGGGGAGGACGTGACGATAAAATGTGATTAAAGGAAAGAAAAGTATGTACAATAAAGATTAAAAGTATCCGAACGCGTTGATTATTTTAATTACGAGATCGTAATGGTTATAAAAAATATTTGCATAATTGCGTTAATAATTTTTTAACGAATCCTTGTTTTTATCGGGTTCCATATTTCGTTTTTTAACATTAAATTTTAATAGATGTGAATGAAAGCGGCATTAAATGATGTAAAATATAACGTAGTTGGATCCAATTTATTATATGTAAATGCGATATTAATACAACGGTGTGCAAATATCTTTTGTATCCATTATTCTCTGCGATTAATACGTATATAATAGAATATTGCTACACCATAAAATTAATTCGAAAAGTGTAACGCGTATATAATAACGAAGAGAATTCTTTTGTTCTTTGAGAAATTCTTTCTTTTTTCAGATTGTTCAATTTATTAACCGGTAATAAAAAAACTCTTTTAAAAAATCTCGATCATCCTTAATTTTCAAAACTTTTATAAAATTCAAACTTCGAGTCAGTCAAAGCGTTTGGAATACTTATAAAATAATATAAAAAAAGAAAGAAAAAAAGCAAACGATCGAGAAACTCGTTAATATCAATTAATCGTATTTACAATTAGCACAGTTGAAAATTCGCATTCCAATTAGATTAACAAGGATACTTTCTCGCGCGTATGAGAGCATCGATTGTACGATGGAACAATGCGACTCGCGGCGCTTAACCAACGCATTTTAAATCGTTTGGTGGACAGAATTTAAATTCGCGAACGGGTTTCGTGCGTCGAACTACGTATGTAGGTCGTGGAGGAAAATTTTCGAAAATGAAATCCGTTATCTCTGGAAAATGAATTTCAGAAAATTTCAGGCGGCGTGACGAGCCTTCCCCCGCCGCTTCGGCAATTCAGAAATGTTCCTACCGTTTATCATTAATGAGTGGTGGTAAATGTAGGGGGGGAAGGGGGAGAAGCTCGAGAAAGGACGACAACGAGCGCAAGAATAATCTTCCGGCGTAATGATTCACGAAAGAAGGAGATGTGGAGGAAAAATGGGATCTTCGTTGGCAAAGCTTCGAATCTCGAGTGGTCGAAGCTCTGGAATAAATGACATTCTAATCTTCCAAATGACTCGATTCATTTTCAAATTGGACGATCCGAGGAATTGAACGCGCGCGTGTCAATTTATCGGAGACTTTGTAAAATGTATTGTGTAATGTGAAACGAGCTTTCGCATATATTACTTAATAATTCATCGATTTTTCTTCGAGTAAAATCGTTTTAGCGTAACGTTTTACGTAACGAACTAGAATTATTATCCGTTATAAGAATCGATTGTTCGTCTGTTTAAACACAGGCATATGTTATTATAGAATTATAAAACGTTATTTCTGAACCATCTAATCGGATGATATACAGATAATAGATATTCCTGAATGAATTATATTTACCTTTTAACGGACATCGTTTGCGGGATCTTTCCTCGGCTTTCACACTTGAATTAGAACCACTCTATCGTGTCCGTTATCATGATCTTATCAAGGATCGATGCACCGTCATTTTGCCATTAAAGTTTACATCACCGCGAAGCCAACGAAACTTCGTTCATCTCGCGATTGAAATTTCACCAATAGTCGATCACAGGCTCGATATTTCGAAATAATAAAGTTCCTTTGAAAAATGTAATAAAATCTTAGGGAAAAAAGGAAAGCGATTTCTTACGCAAGAAAATTTAATTTAACCACGAATGCCACGTTTTTCAACGTTACAAAATCGATCCAGTTACTATTAAAATTTAATCAAAAGCTTGATATTTTAACTCTTTGGGACGTAATGAACTAAAAACTTATCTTTAAAAAATTGAAATAATTATATACAAATACACATTATTTACTTTTTGTTATTATTGTATTTGTGATTATTTTATCGATATAAAATTTTTGTCCAAATAAAGATCCGCTCTAAAGATTTGTACCACAAAAAGTTGAAATAACAACAATTTTCTCTTTGAAAAAAACTGTAACAAAATTTCTACGGAAAGGAAATAATGTCTTACGCAAGAAGATCGAAACGAAATCGTGCTATTCTATGAAACGAGCAACTAGCTATTCCGCGATCTCATTAAACCTGGTAAAAATGATCCGAGGCGACTAATTAACCGTATAGGGCTTCGGAAGGAGGTCTAGGAACGATCCAGGTCCCTTCGACGTTCACCCGTTGAATTTTGCATTCCGGTGTGTAAACAAGTCGAACTCCACGGGGAAGCTTCGTGGACAGAGAGAACGATGTAGGAAGCTCGTCGCTTTATCGAGCTTCATGAAACTTACATCACGCGTACCTAACCACCGACTGTAGTCGAAGACTGCAAAAAGTAAACAAGAGAAGGAGAGAGAAAGAGGGAGGAGGGGAGAGCAAATATAAACTACGATCGAATCGATTTCCTTTTTTTTTTTTTTTTTTTTTTAACCAGATATCAGAGATATCGATATATATATGCCGCCCAAGTGCCTAATCTATATCGTCCATCGTGATACGAATATCGCGAGTTCTAATTATATCGTACTCTTGGACCTTGTCACTATTCGCCTAGTCCAACGTATATATCCTTTTTTGGCCTGGTCGTGACGAATAAAACGCTCGAGGAAAGGGACAATGAACTCCTGTAGCCCACGTAAAAAATTAACACGCTCTTTGTCCCCGGGCTCATCCGGTGATCCACTGCGATTAAGGAAGGTAAGAATATTTTTTTTTCTCGCCTCTTTGATATTCCTCGATTCCGTGGAGATTACGAAGAAGACCGTATTCTTATAAAAATAGAAGAATAGTTTAAAGAAACAAAACGTAGAACGAATCTAATTTCGACGTTGATTGGTTCACTAAAGTTTGTATCGTATAAATATGGAGAAAGGCAGTATGTAATCGCAAGAAAAATGCGAAAGGAAAAGAAAATCACGAATCGATCGATTTTTATAGATACTTTTTGTACTCGCCCGATAAAACTTATCAATCTGTAACAAGCACTGTACGAAAACGAAGCTATCGACACACACTCCTGGATCGCACAAACACCCGTCCATATGGATCTACACCTATGCAACACAGAGATACGAGACGTTAAATCGTCTTAAAGGCGGATGTAAATCGTGGCGAACACCGTACTCGTTAAAATCGAGTTACACCCCTTCTTCGCTCGTCCATTCAGTTCAGATAATGGAAAAAACAGAGAAATCCTTTTTTTTCTTTTTTTTTGCGTGAAAGGAACACGAGGAACAGGAGGTAATGAGAAATAGGACGAAGAAACGAAATCGAAGAAGGGAGAGAGAGAGAATAAGGGAAGGAAAGAGAAGAGAAGAGAAGAGAAAATAGCACAGAGAGAACACACGCGTTACCTGTCGCCGCGGGAGCCAGTGGCCGTATTCGAGATGTCGGCAGAATTCGCGGCTGG